TACTTTGACTAATCTTGTTGTTTTCTTGTCAAGATTCTTGTCTGATGTGAATATCAATCCTGATGAAATCCTGATACGAAGACTTGATCTAGATCCTGATGAAAATCTGATAAAAGCTTGGCAGAATCCTCTCTCATAATCTTGAGAGGATCATTTATAGGATATTAAGTAAAGCCTGGCACGATCCTGTATTCTCAACTCAGAAAAATATCTGAGAAGGAACCTGAAGAAATCCTGAACAGGATTCTGTTTCGCCTTGAAAAATCTTCGAAACAGTAGTTACCAGGATTTGGAACAGGGTCCTGAATAAAACTTGATAGGATTCTTGATATTTAGGATCTTGAAAGGTCCTCCCAGGGTTTCTCAAGGAATGAGCAGGATTGAGACTAGGGATACTGACATCGCAAACGATGCATAAGATGGATGTAGGTGTGAGTGTTTCTGCTATACCCACCCTCACCTACACCCTTCGATCAGATATTTTGTTATTGATGTCATCACCACGTGAGTAAAATCGTTTGATCAAACGTTATATTAGTTATGTATTTAAAATTTTGTTTCATAGATACAAAAAAAAATGTTCTATCGTGACATCCTACATGCTTCACAACACATAGTATGTTTTTCAAAGGATGGAGTGAACCAACCTTTGCATTTTGGCTTTGTGCACTTGAGTTCTTTTACTAAAGCCATAAAAGACGGATCAAGTTCTCCCTTTGACTCGCTGACACAACGTGTACATTCGCAATCAAAGAAATACACGTCTTTCAGTTGTTGTTTTCTTATTGTTTGATCTTTCATAATATAATCAACGTTAACTTGATCATGCATATAAAAGTCACATTTTTGTCCTCCATAGCTTATGCATAGTTCTTCATCCTTCTTTAGAGAATATGCTGCGAAGAACACAAGATCACCCATCTGAAACTTCGTTGCATCTTCTTCAATTAGGAAACGACCGATGTTTGGTGAGCAGGAGTGATTAAAGAAAACGGCAGATGGATACACTCCCAGGGCATACATTTGAGGTGCTTGAGAGTAACCATTGAACGTAAAAGTACTATGAAAGAATCCGTTGATTTCTTCTATACAAATAAGGATGTACACTTTATGCAGTAGATATTTTAACATTTCAATAATGGCGGCATCATCGGAGAGTGAACATAAACGAGCCATTTCAGTTAACCATCGATCAGAATCGATGATTTCGACTTTTTTAGCATCTGCATTATCTGGCAGGAAGGATTGAATGAAACTAATAAATTCATGATTATCTTTGGTTAAATGAGAAATGAGTCGCGTTAATATATATTTCGTTAGAGTTTTGGCTACAGTTCCAAATTCATTTTTCTTCTCCCTTGGAAAGTCATCGAAATGTGATAACATCATAAAAACATCTTCAAGTAAAACATTCTGTGGCTTGTCTAAGAGATTGTGTAGTCTCTGAGTAAGCATGCGCATAACAAGTCGAGCATAATTAATAACATAATCATTGTAATTATAATCTTGCAAGGCGCATACTTCATCGAGAAATGAACATTCGTACTGGTGAAATTTGTCCCAATGCTGTCGTTCACATTTATCTGAGCAGTAAAATACATGAAGACAACCTTGACGGCATGCGACCATCTCCCTTGTACTGGTTCGCTCTTTCGAAATATGCATACAGTTTGCACATACGTAATTCTTTTTCGTCACGGATGGGATGAGGGCATATGGTTTTGATACCAGTAGAATGTCGCCTTGTGAGACATCGTGATTTGTAATCAAGAAGCGTCCTTTCTGTGCTGTGTAGATAACATTCACTTTGCTTTCGGTCATGAATCGTTCTGACTAAAGAAAAAAGTCGAATCAACAAAGCTCTTGAAAATTATATTTATAACGAGAGAAAAGAAAATGTTTTTTTTTCTGTATTCTATTCTTTTCTTTATTGCTGCAATGAGAGAACAGAGCATGTGTGAGAAGCTCTACTCAAGCCAGAAAAACAATCTTTTCTGTAACTAAACGAACAAAAAAACATCATCCAATGAGTCTTCTAAAGATTTGAAACAATAACTGAAAACTCATCCTACCTCTTCGTGTGAGCATTCTTTTTTTATTGAAAAGTTTTGGTTTTATCAATTCTTTAAAAAATCGATGTCAAAAATATTAAATCTTTCTAAGAAGTTGACTTTTTAAACAAATACTTTATTGAACAATAGCGAAAAATTCTCGAATACTTAAATGCCGAATATTCATCGTCGTCATCAAGACGTAACATTTCAGTGACTTTTAGTAAAAAGAAAGATGACTGTGGAACTATTTATCTTCTGATCATCGCCAGAAATCTTGAAAAACGACTACAAATATTATTGAAAGATGCTATACGATGAAGGAAAATTTCAAAAACTAGGAGAAATGATCGATTGATTACGGACTTTCAAGCTTATAACAAAATCAAAAGATCTCTCTTACGACATTAGTCTCAATCCTTCTTTTGCTAGATTCGTCTTATAGTCATTGTCGTCTTTGATTAGTGAACAAACTTGTTAAAAAAGAACTTTGATGACAGTGAATTCAAACGACTTCATTCGAAATAGATATTAAGACCTATGTTTTCACATTATTCCGAATAAGTTCACTTGAATTTACTCTCATCTAAGTGTAACGTAAAAACTTAGGTATAGCACTGATATTGCATATGAATATGTATAATCTGACATAAAGTGATCAAAATATTGAAATGATAAGGAATGAAAGATTGCTAGAGCAGAATAAAAATTTGACGTTCCTGGTTGAATCGATCTTTATTTCAACACTGGTAGTTCTTTACACAATGTAATCAAAGAAACACACTGTAACACTGCCTATTTCCATTCATATATATTTATTCGCTGTATTTCTATCGACTAAATATACTTTTCCATAAAAGAAAAAGGATTATAGAAAATGTAAAAGGAGTGAACTATATTAACACAGATACGAAAAGAATATTATGTTGCGCACGAAGGCACATAGATAACACTACAAATGATATTATTCTATATCGCGATATAAGGATATGGGCTCTCTCTCTAGGAAATGATAAGTCCCCGTCTGTAAACGGAAGAGAAACTGTACTCTTCAATGTATATATTTCAAAAAAAGACACAAAAGCATCCATATATATATGAGAAAGAAAAAGATAAAAAGAATAGCATCAAAGATAACATGGGTTCTCGAACGACAAGAATGAAGCGAAGAGGCAAGAATACTATGTGGGCGAAGAAGAGAAAAGAATGTGTCCAAAAGCGATGTACCATGGAGAACAAATAAAAGGCTAGCGAGGACACTCGTCATCGATAACAAAGGATGACCCCGAAAAGGACATCATAATATAGAGATACATTGTCGAGAGTAAAAATGGATATTATACTGTATATAAATATAAGGATGATACTAAGACAGATACGTTTGTAGATCTATCGATACAAACGTCATCTCCAAAAAGAAGGAAAATCAAAAGAAGAGGATACGCAAACATATGAACGAGAAAATGATACTTATATCAGTACAATACGCTCTTCTGGAACAATTCTCTTCATTAATCAATGATAATAACTACAAAATCGCTTCAGTAAAAAAAAGAAGAATTTAGAATAATGTAATCAATAGAATATTTTTCATGGCTTCAGGAAAACGAAGGAACTAGTGCATTGATAAGTCTAGAATAACTTGTATTTAGCCAAATGAACGAACCTGTGCTTTTGACATTCTATCTGAATAAGCAATAACGAAAAACTTCGCTTCATTAGTTATAACGTGTGATCAGAGCAATAGCTACACATACTTCATTCTGTTCTTCTCTCTTCTTATGTGTGCAAGCTTCACTGACTTTTTTAAACTCATATTCATAAAATCGTTCGTGTGTTGCATGCATGTCATCAGTACGATGATAATCGCTCAGGTGAGCAATGATGTGAAGGAACATCACCCCGCATTTTAAATGATAATATCAGACAAGGATGATAAAATTGATATCATATTAAATACCAATATACTATTGCTTGAATCAATCAATTAGCAGTTTAAACTAACCAAGAGCAAAATGAGTACAGAATAGAAATCAAATCTGCAATACATCTCGCGTTTTTCTTCGTTTCTTGGATTAAATGAACACTAAACTACTTCACTATGCGAAAGTCCGCAAGCAATCAGATTCAAACATTACTAATATAAAGATATAACGTTCGCCAATCAAAGTCTTCGTCAAAGCTAGTTTTATACTTTTGAACAAGCGTATTCGGTACAAAATTTTATTTCCTGCTGAAAGATGTCGTTATGTTCTCCTCTCTACTTCACACTTTGAGTTTGTTTCTTTAGGAAGAAGAACATAATCTTCTATCTTTATTTATAATAAACAAACAAATTGACCCTAATTACATATCACACAGTATATATATATCATCAGAGAAGAAAGAGAAGAGAAAAAGAAAGGTGACAAGACAGAAATATGGAAAGAAGTTGAATATAACAATAATCACATAGATGTCAGGTTCTGACACCCTTCCCGGACCACGGAAAAAAGGTTTTTGTTTACAAAACATTTTTTTTCACAAAACTCAGAATTGAGAGACAGAGGAACGAAAAACGAAAAAATGTTTAAAGGAAGAGAAAAAAATTAAAGTATAGGTATAAATGCACCAAGTCAGAAGGAAGAAAGAAGAAGAAAGAAAACGATAACGAAAAAGCTGTTCGAATAACACCATAGAGAAAAAAATATGAAACATAAACTAATACGAAAAGCAGAATATAACATAAAGGAAAATATGAAAGTAAATGACATAGTATAGAAAAAGTCTGACAATACAAAAAAAACATGAGGGAAAAGAAAAGAATAGTTACTATAATTGTTGTTTACTCGTGTATTACGTGTATTGGCATGATTAATGTTCGGTTTGATGACGGTATAAATAATAATGATCACGATTGAATATATCATGAGGTAATTGTTGTTCATTTTGTTGTTTGAGTTCATCATTTTAAACACCAATAACTAATAATTCATCTACAGTTTTAATACGAGTAAAATGAATATTATATTGATGGAGAATATTCCGAGTTGATTTCATTGTAAATCGATGATATACTCGACGCGCCATAAAATAATGATAACGCCGTGATCGAAAAAAATTATTTCGTTTTCGATTTGGTCGTCGTCGATGACATAATATACGTTTTACTGTTATATGTGGTTCACGATCATTAACTGGAACAAGTATAGCAACATTTTTATCATGATAATTATTCATATTCAATTTTTCTTCATCTTCTGATATCATCTTATATAATTGATTATTCTCAATAATATTTTGACTATGTTGTATAGCTGGTGATATTTTATTATTATCATCATCATCCTCAGAAGCTTATTCAATGTTACTATCTACAATATGCATTAACATTTGTCCATTAATATTGGTGTTAATTTTTTTTTCTTATGCCCTCATTGCTGTCCTAAGTTCCTAACAGTACCAGACATGAGAAGAGAGAGAAAAAAAGTGAAACAAAAGGCACACAGAAGGTACAAAAAGAAGGAAAGATTCCACATGTAAAAATACAGAGGAAAGATAAAAGAATAATGAAAAAACCGCATCTAAGATCAATACAGAATACAAAATAGACAACAAACAAAAGAAAAAAGGAACGAACAAACATACGTAACAGACTACACATAGTTAACATTTAACCCTTGGAGTACCGGCCTCTTTTAACCGTGATTTTGATGACATGTGTTCTTTTTTAATAATCCTTTTACTTTTCAGCCAATATTTTCGTAAGATCTGACCTTTTCTTGTTTTATTCTATAGAAAAAAATGAGAACGATGTTCCTTATTTAGAACAATTAATACAAAAGACACGTTTGACAGAATGATCACTACAAACGAACGAAGAACAACTGAAACATTGAATTGATGTTTTCTTGTCCGTAGAACGTTCACAAATGGAGCACCTTTTTCGTTTTGGTTGAGTGGGATTTTCATTCGCTTCTGCCGGATCGTTCTTCGACACAGGATAACCGACGATTGCTAAAGCATTTAGAATATCTGTGTTCAAAAATTTCGAGTTCTTCGAACGAAAATCCAACAGATGCGATACCAGTGCTAATCCTAATTCTTCCAAAAATAATCGACGTTTATGATTTGTATTCTGATTCCATTGAGGATTTTTCACTTTCCAGACAATCAGAGCATTTATGGCAGCAATGTCTATCATCCCATAGAAAATACAAACTGGCCATCGCTTTGTACCTCGTTTTACCTGAAAAGTAAAATAAGCTATAGAAATACTGAAATATTTTTTACCGTGTATTTATGACACATTTGATCAACAGTATCGACAGCCCCCTTTGTTTTGTTATAATCCAATATAATGATCGGTTTTCCAGTTTTATTGTCCACTTGATTGTCGTGATGTTTTGAGGAGAGCAATAAAACAGCTTTATTCTGTTTTGGGACAAATGAAACTAAGGTTAAACCATCTTGGAAACCAAAGAGCGAAGAACCCACTTCACGATTTTCGTTGGATTGAAACTCGATAGGTATTTCTGACTTGTTTTTTCGCAGTGTTCCTATAAGAGTCAGATTCTTTGTTTGAAGCGTTTGGGCTAATGGAACACTTGTGAAGAAATTATCTATTGTAACGTTTCTTTGGAAGCCGTAAAGTGGTTTGAGTAATTCTAGAACGACTTTGGCACCTATCTGTGTTTGTCTTTGCTCATTCGGTTGTCGTCCAACGTAAGGAAATGCATTGAATACATAATGTGAGTCCACATCAACGCATAGCCAAAATTTTAATCCGTATTTGTCAGGCTTTTTTGGCATATATTGACGGAAGGAACATTTTCCTCTAAATCCTAGTAGTTGTTCATCAATAGTAACATTTGATCCCGGTGTGTAACATGTTTGTAAGCAATTTTGGAAATATGACCAGATTTCACGAATTGCTGCAAATTTATCTGTTCGTTTTCTTTCTTCCCTTGTTCTTTTGTCGTCAAATCTCAAACAAGAAATAATATCCTGAAAACGAGTTCTTGACATAGTGGCTTTGAATATTGGCGGTTCTAATGGACTTCTTCTCCATAAGCATTTCAGATCGATCTTCGATTTCCCCAATAAACCAGCAAGCAATAAAAGTCCAATAAATGCTTTCAATTCTATGAGTGTTATTTCTTCAATTTTTTTCGTGGAGGTATTCTTGTGAGTATACTCCAAGTTTGAATAATCCAAGATTTTTTCCAGAAGTTTGTTTGGCATAAAACACATGAATGCATCTTCGACAGATGAAATATTTTCACTGGTATTTGTAAGACCAGCTTTTTGAATAACATCATTCGAAAAATCATTTTTCGTTGAATGATGAGGAGTTGAGGACCAAATCATTCCAGAACGGGAAGTATACGAACTTTTCCATGTGGAGTCATCGTCTAATTTTAGGTTTTCTAAATCAATTTCATCATCATCGTCGGATGTTTGGCTTTCGCCATCTCCCGTTTCCGAACCGCTGTTTGCATCATCGAAATAATCACTGTCGCTTCCGGTTTCACTTGAACTGTCCATAATCTTTATGAAAAATATTTCAATGGATTGAAAATGCACACCCCTTTAGATCAGAGAATGACTCATTTTATTAGACATTAGAATTTTCATTGTTTCTCCGTTTTGTAAAAAACATATTACTGATACAATGTTTTACTAAGGGGGGCGCACTAATATGGAGAAAGAATGTATTTCGTTCTAGATTCATTATCATATATCTCTTCGTAAAGGTTACTAGCTGCTGCTGAAAACTGCGAAACAACAAAACATGTTTAGCATTTTTTCGGAGATTTCGAGCGTGGGGTCAAAAATGACCCCGGCTGGTACTCCAAGGGTTAAACAAAAGTTAAAACACACAAAGAAGGCATAGATCACAGCTTTAACAAAAAGAATCAGGAAAAAGTTGAAGTAGCTCTATTTCTGACATTTCATAATGTGGTATAGAAGAGTTAGAAGGAACTGACGAAAGTCAAGTTAAGACTTTTCTAAAATTGATTTATAGGGAACAAATCTTTTAGATCTTCTCAACCCCGTGATGGAGAACTCCTTATCCAACCAACTTTTCCTTAATTCAGCAAGGTTAGGTCTCTCAAAAATTAGATTTCCATCAATCGAATTAGATAAAGATCTAAGATACCTATTCCAATATATGGAACAACGATTTTCCAAGGATGTTTCATCAAGTATATATGAAAAAAATTTTCATTCCATTCGAGGCAACATAAAGTATGACGAATGGAGGAGTAATACAACCTAGAGAGGTCCTCC